CAGTCCTCTTTGGACTCGGACTGGCAGGAACAGGAACAGGTATAGCCTCCCTAGCAGCGCAGAGCCACCAATATGATGGCCTCAGAGCTGCTATAGATCAAGACATTGAAAGAATAGAGACATCCATTTCTCATCTTCAAGATTCCTTAACCTCCTTATCTGAAGTGGTCTTGCAGAATCGTAGAGTTCTAGATTTAGTATTCCTGCATCAGGGTGGACTGTGTGTTGCACTAGGAGAAGAGTGCTGCTTCTATGCAGACCATTCGGGTGTCGTTAAGGAATTCATGGCCAAGATCCGCGAAGGTTTAGCCAAACGGAAATTAGAACGAGAACAGAGACAAGGATGGCTTCAAAATTGGTTAAACTACTCACCTTGGTTAACTACATTATTGTCTGCTTTAATAGGCCCCGTGATCATACTCTTGTTGTTGCTAACCTTCGGTCCATGTATTATAAACAAACTAATAACTTTTGTACACGCCAGAATAAACGCTGTGCATGTTATGGTCCTCAAACAACAATATCAACAGGTATCCCTAGACAACTCAGCATGTTAAAGGAATCTAAGATTAGATTCACCCTACCCTCATGAGAAGGGGGGAATGAGAGGACAACAATAGATTTAGGTTAAGAGCATGCTATTGAGAGACCCAAGAAACCAAGAAACTTATTTGCTGTAAAAGCAGCATTTAGTTCACTATATTTCATATATCCCCACCTCATGTTTACTATATATTTTGTGTATTCCTACCTCATGTATTTTATGACTACCTCATGTATTTTATGAAATCTTAGTACTTTGAATCCTACCTCAGACCCCGTAGAATTAGGCATATGTCGGGTTTTAAGCAGTGTTTGTATTTAGAATCCTCGGGTTAAGCTTTGTCAAACCCAAACCAGTAGGCTAACTTATGCTTTTACAACGGGATGTAAAGGATAAAGCGATAAACCTCTTTCAAACATTCCTATAAGGTGGCACCAGACTTAGAGGAGCCACCTCCTCTCTAGGTGGGCTTTATCACCGGTTTATATCTCAGTGATAATTTACAGCAGTGGCTATGTAAACCTGCAGGGAACAAAGACCTTTATAAAGTAACTGCCTTGCTATTATAAGCTTGCTATTATAAATTTCCAGAATTAGTATATGATTTTCTACCCCCACATTC